GATCTCCTTTCTTTTTTCAAATGAGAGGATTGAAAATTTAAGTCTCCTCAAAAGTATTATGAGATTTATTTTCCATAAAAAATAAAAATAAAAATATTCTAACTTTACGCTTTTAAGTATAATCTCTTCCTTTTGCTTCTTTACAAATTTTCTTTAAACTTTATACCTCTCTGTCTCATATTAGTAGTCCATATTTTTATTTTTATCTGTTCCAAAATAGTTGTCTTATTTCAAAAATCAATGTATTATATTTTATAACATTCCCAATTTATCTTTTATTATATTGAAAGGATAAAACAAATTAAATGTTAAAAAAGAAATCATATTAAAAAATTATTAATTAAATGTCAATCTCTTAAAAAGTTAGAATTTCAAAAGTGAACATTTAAAGTGGTAGGGGTGGGCATTCGATCCACCAATTCGCGAGTCTGATCCGATCCATGCAGAGTAGATTAGATTGTTAAACTCACAAATCGGTGGTGGATTTAATAATATAGAATTTGTAGTTTACGAATTGGATTACAAATTGGGATGTTAAAAATTCGATCTGATTTAATCTGTGAGATTTATATATTTTTTTTCTAAGAATTTATTAGTTAATGAACTTTTAAATTAAAGTTAGTTAATAATCATTTAATGGCCTAAAATTAATATTTTATTGAAGGGCAAAGAAGACATTTCATTCTCTTTTGGGCATTGATTGGGTCAGGTGTGATTGTTCAAAAATGAGTTAATTTTCATCTTGGCCAAACTTTGAAGGGGTGAGTATAATTAATCCTATTTTATTTTATCTTATCTTATCTTATTAATTCTTATTTATTTATTTATTTTTTACTTAAACCTAGGGGTTAAGGTAAATTTCACTTATTTATCATATATATTGTATTCAAAAGCATGAGTATGCAAAAAAACAAAAGAACCCCCCTCATAAATGCATTCATCATAAATATACTGAACAAAAATTTATCAAACCATTAAATCAAGGGGGGTTTGTTACAAAATTCTGGTTAAAAAAATTCAGCAGTAGTTGATAAACGTACTCACGAATTTAACAAGAGAAAGTGGTGTCATAATCAATTTTTTGCATACTCATGCTTTCAAATACAAAATATAAGATAAATAAGTGAAATTTTTTACAATAATAATAATAAAATGTCTAGGCACCATCAAAAGCCAATATTTCACCGGAGATGAAACCATACATACAAATACACCCAAAGTATGTTTTTTTTATTTTTTTTATTTATTTATTTTTTTTTTTAACGAACACCCAAAGTATGTATAAGTTATGCTCTTCCCTACCTCAAAAGAGTGTATTTTCTAACCGCAAATCTTCATGAAATTATAGATATAATGTGGAGTTGTTCCACCTTGACGTTTTCCACCTTAATGTTTATATTCCAGTAAATGTAATTTAAAATTCTTCACTGCCTTCTCTTCTCTCTATATACTTTAATTTTCCTTTGTAAATGAATTTTTCTTTATATTTACTTTTAAAATTTTCTCTTACCTCTTTATCTAATACTCCGTAGTATCTAATAGATGCACTTGCTTTTTTAAGTGAGGTCATCATATTAAATTTTAAGTTTTCCATATGTTCATTCATTGATGCATTTGCTTGTTTAAGTGAGGTCATCATGTTAAATTATAGTTAAATAAGATCAGCATATATCATGGGACCTTTAACTTTAAGCATCCCAATATAAGATAAGTTGTCCCCTAAAGCTCCACTTAACATTTCTATTGTCTTATTCAGTTTTATTTAAAAAAAAGAATACATCTAAGAAGGATTTGGTGTTAATAGTCTGCCTAATATTTAATTTGCACTTTAATATCTTTTTCTAACTTATGCTTATTTTTAGCTTTATTGTTGCTTGGAGTTCCTGGCATGTGCTTATTCTCTGTGTGATTTTCTCCCATTTATTAAAATCTTACTTACCAAGATATGACGGATTCTCTCTTGCACTATAAAATGAATTCTCTCTCTTCTTTATAAAAATTTGCACCATTTGTATCTCTAATTTGATGTACTTTTGAAAAAGTTGGCCGGAATATTGTTTTGTTTGTGATTTTTGGGATATTGAGAAGTTTTCGTATATTAAGTTGATTATCAATATTTAAATTCTATTTTATCATGTTGGTCTGCTCAATTTACCAATTACATGCACATGCTTTATGTTGAATTTACTAATTACATGCACATGCTTTGTGTTGAATACTAACACAAGTTAGTCTGTATAATTTACCATGAACATGCACATGCACATGCTTAAGCAATACTAATGTGGACCAGGTTTGCACAAACTTGCTGTGAATATATATGCCATTGGGTGCAGTCTGGTTGTGAATATTGTGAAAATCTGCATTGTCATATTGATGATTGACATATATGATAATGCAGATTTTTGTGTTGGTTGTTGTCACAGGGGTAAATTCTGAACACGAATCTAGTGCTCTGTGATGACACTAAGCCAGAAATATGAATAACTTTTCTAAATTTCTAACTTAGCTCAACCAACTCACACTTATTGCCTAGAACACATAGCAAGTAAAACACTCTCACACACAAGTATAGTTGCAATAATGTAAAGACAATAACACCCACGATTTTACAGAAGCACAAGGCTTCCAACCTTTTACTATTATTTACAAAACAATACAAGGAAAGGCCTCAACCTGCAGAAGCATACAAGAGTCTCTCACAACACAATTCTGTGTCTTACTCTCAATCTGCCCTCTCTACAGAACCCACATTAGCAATATATAGGCAAACTCTCAAAACCGCCCACTAAAGTGGTGGATGACACCCCCATCCACCCACAACTACCCACTAAAGTGGTGGATGACACCCCCATCCACCTAGGGTCATGCTGGCATCCACTAAGTGTGCCAACACTACATATGTAGTTGACAAGCCCAACTACTATCTTGTTGGCACGCTCTACTCATGCCACTTGTGCACAGGAATTTACCCATTATCTGCCACCTTCTATATATCAGCATAGTGGAAGGAAACTGACTCTAATCACTTGTGTGTTGTCCCCTTAGATCTGTGCCACATGCATGGGAAGTTACTCAGCACACCCCCACTCCCCATAATATATGCATATGAGTGGGAAGTTGGGAAGTTACTTAGCACACTAGTGGGAAGTGTTAGTAACTTCCCCCAACCAACTGAGCCCACTTAGTGGGAAGTGTAACTTTCCCCAACCAACTGAGCCCATTTAGTGGGAAGTGTAACTTCCCTCAACCACCTGAGCCCACTTAGCCATTTTCTGTAACCATAAGCCATGTCTGAGTCCCCTGAGCCAACCTTGCACGTTGAGCCTTGCCTACGCCCACTGCCTTGTGCCCATGTCTCTGACTTGACTATGCCACACGTCCATGACTTGTATGGTTCATGCTTTAAGCAATATCTGAGCCAACCTTGTGAACTTAGCCCGTGCCAAGCCCACTAATCTGCACCCACATATAAATGTCTCAAAGTGCATGACATCTAAATCGAGTGCCGTCTGAGCCAGCCATCTTCTATGGATTCAAGGTACCTCCCATAAAGATCCCGAGCCAAAACTCCAAGCTTCACTTTTTTGCCATATTTACGAAAATGCCACTGGGCACCCCCAGTGCACGCTGATAGCATCCCATGGCTGTCAAAGGGCTTGTCAAGGTCCCAACCCCGTAACAAACCTCCCCCACTTAAGAATTTTAATGTCCTCATTGAAGTAATCACAAAGTGTCACAAGTCTCTGCCTGCAACTTAGCATGTTGGCCCCGACCAACCCGAATGCTGAATATTAACACTACAATAACTCCACTGCTGTACTTAAATAATGACATAAACCCCAACCTCCGCTTCGATTCATGACATGAATTCTGAACACCTTTGGATTCAGTCCTCACAACCAGCAAACCAAATCAGAAAAACAAATAAAGAGGGAATTCACCATTACCAACCTTGGCAATAACTCCGTGAGCATCTCTGCATAACCTTCCCTCGAAGCCACGCGCCCACCTGCACCTATCATGACTGCATGACAAGAGGATCGACCCGAACATTACCCTCATCCGAGTCTGAATCTCCTTCATTGGCTTCTTCAGCAACCATAACATTTACCTTCTCTTTCTTAGGACAGTCTCTCGCCCTATGTGGACCCTTGTAAATGAAGCAATCACTGTCCAGCTTTGGCCTATGCTGGATGAACGTTGCCTCTGACTTACTTTTGTCTTTCTCTTCCTCAGCAACACCATACCTCTTTGGCTTGTCACTGAATTTGCCCTTCTTTTTTAGTTTGATGGCGATAGTAGAGATAGACTTTTCAATCTGTAAGTCCACCAGGCTGTCTGCTGCAAGAATAGCAGAAGAAAGGTTGATCACACCGCTCCTCCGTAACTTGATTTGTGCCCATGATTGCAAGCATGCCATGAAATTAAACAATTTTTCCCCCTCGGACATATCTTTGATATCCAACATCAAAGATGTGAACTCTTTCACATATTCATGCATTGTACCCGTATGCTTGAGTCTCCTCAACGACTCACGAGCCACCCAACCAGAATTTGCTGGAAGAAACTACTCCTTCAGTTCTTTCCTTAGCTCTGCAAATACAGTAATTTTTGGGCGTAACTCATCCTCCACCCCGAGTCTGCCACCACAATTTAGCATCACCAGATAAATATATACTGGTAATAGTTACCTTATCATTATCTGGAATGTCGGCTGCTCGAAAATATTGCTCCATATCCCACAAGAAATTCTCCAGATCTTTGGTACTCCTTTTGCCCCCGAATAACTTTGGTTCTGGAATTTTGATTTTGGCAGATGATGGCTTCTCTCCCACAACAGTCTGATTGTGCATGGCCCTCTTCAACAGAGCCACCTCGCCCTTCAAATCCTTCACATGATCTTTGAAGAGGTCTGTCATGGATATCACATCATCCGTCATAATCTGCATCTTTAAGTTTGTCTCCCCCACAAACTCTTCAAGTATTGATCGTATTGTCTACAACTCAATTGCAAATAATTCCATTTGCTCTGTCAAGGTAGCAGCACCGTCAGATTGTGGAGCACCCACCAAGGCTTCCAAACAAGTTACACAATCTCTGAGAGCTTCTGTAGCGTTACCACTGGCCATGATGAACCCAACTCTGGGCTCTGATACCAATTGTCACAGGTGTAAATTCTGAACATGAATCTAGTGCCCTGTAATGGCACTAAGCCAGAAATATGAACAACTTTTCTGAATTTCTAACTTAGCTCAGCCAACTCACACTTACTGCCTAGAACACACAGCAAGTAAAACACTCTCACACACAAGTATAGTTGCAAGAATGTAAAGACAATAACACTCACGATTTTACAGAAGCACAAGGCTTCCAACCTTTTACTATTATGCACAAAACAATACATGGAAAGGCCTCTTTTTGCTCTTATGGAGACTAGCTTGAACCCTTAGCCTTCTACTTTGGAAGGTGAGGAGATACCATTAGGCTACACAGTCCTTAGTATCTCTAATCTTCTTTTCAATCTTCATCCTGCCGCACCAAGATATCTTAAATCCAAAAGCTAGCCCAATAATAAATATATGAAAGACATCAGAACTGATTTAACCAACTCAGCCCTATCAGCTAATGAAAGACTAATACCATTCCAAGAGGTTAATCTAGCATCCACCTTATACATTAAAGGATTGAAGTCCGTTTGCTTTAAGGAAACATCTCACAGTGAAAAAGCACAGTGGGTGAGATATATTTACATTCTTTTGTGAGAGTGACAAACCGTGTATCACTATTGGTAAATAGTTTTCAATATTGATTTGATTCATCCAAGTGTATTTCTTCTCCTAGGATTCTGCTTTATGTAGTATCATGACTATTAATTTTAAACTGCAGCTTTACTGAGCAGAATCTTGACCTACTTGTACTACCTATCATGTTCCATTGAAGCAACAATGTATGTATGTATATGAAAATAATGAAAACACAAATGCAGAACAACATAATACTGAGATGTGGAAACTTATGATACATCCTCTGGAGAAGGGTGGCTTCACACCCCTCTCACTTATCCCGAATTCAGAGAATGTTCAACACGATCACTGGCCAACTGGATTCTCAGCTCATTCATTGACACGCACAATTAGCCACCTTTTACGAACAAACATGCGCATCTTCTTCCCCACCCACACCAAAATATTTATGGAGTGTATCAGTATGACAATCACGCACAACACCACCCACATGTAAATTGATGCAGTGTACATTTCTATGGTATCATCCCATGTACCGCTGGTTATCAAATATATTGATTGTATATATCTAAGTGCCATGAATGTCACTGTAATACTCATGGCAGCCATTAATAGCCACACCGAAAGTTTATTTGTGAGAGGAAATCCACTTGCCATTAGAAGAATGACGCTCAGAGAAGCAACTAAAGATCGACACCGTGTTATATTTTAGAAATTTTTTGAATTCTGCTGGTTGAGTGGTGTCCATGACAGCTAGACCAGGGTCAGTATCATTTCTGCTATTGTTATAGTCCTGCCAAACACTTCCTGGAGGATCGAGCCTGGCTTGGAAAGAAATGGTTCCTGTCACTGTCGCCACAACCATTAAATTACCACGCCCCACTTCCAACCAATTGCTGTCATTCTTAAGGTATTTCTTCCAAATTGCAGATACAAATCGCCATGTTTTGTTTGGACAACTTCCTCTGCTAGTACTATTACCTCCTGATATAAGGAGGTTTAGAGTTCCATCACCATTAATTGATCTCTGAACACCAGCTTCGAGAAGAAACTCTCTGATTTCCATGACTTTTACATCTCTAGGACAGTGATCTAAAACATCCAAAGCTGTAGAACCGTTCACATTCGTGGCATTTGCGTTTTCCTTCACTTTGTCTATAGATAACAAGTAGTCTATGGTCTGCACAAATTAAGCTTCACTAAAATTATGAGGTAACAAGGAAGCATAAAATAAAATAAAATACGCTGCATAAACAAAGTAAAAGCATGCAAGGTAAAAACGTACTAAACAAGGAAAGAGTTATTGTGGATATATAATTAGTCTTGGGCAAAGTTGTTGAATTGTGATCGGGAGATAATGGGTTTGAAATAGGAAAACAGCAGCTCGTTCCGCACATAGAGGTAAAATTACCTACATCTCATGATTCTCATCCTTCCCGGACCATGCAATGACACTATAAAAGCTGCTGCTGCTTCTTTCTTAATTTTATTTTTTTATTTTTTTATTTTATTTGCTTAACTGTACCAAGCCCCTACTTTTTAAAGGGAGGTTAGGAGTTCGAACCTTAGTGAAGTAGAGGCATGTGTGTGTGACCAACTAAAAAAAAAAAAAAAAAGTTGCATTGGCCTTGATCGGTAGAAGCAAAGACCCTGTGGCAATTGATACTGCACCCTTTCCAATCATGTTCGTGGATACATTGATTGTAATCACCATGAAGAAAAGGGCAGACCGACCTGAAGAAGTTCCCCTAGAAGAAGCAAACATAAGGACGAAACCAAAAAGCAGAACGAAACAATTATGGATTTGAAATTGGACAAGCAGGCATACTCAAAAGAAAGGTTAAAAACGCATACAAGGTAAAAATAATTATAATAATAATTCTTTTTTTAAAGCTTCACTGTTTTCCAATAAATTCAATATTTACCTCCATTTGTTTGAAGATTGCAGCTAGATGCAATAAGGTGTTGCCATAATTGTCTTTAGAGTCGACAAACTCTTTGTTCCTTATGACTTCCACCAAATATTTCAAAGCCTCCAAACGGTAGTACCTAATGCACAAGTGCAACACCGTCTCTCCTCAGCCTAGTCTCTCATAAGCCGACTCAGGTTGAGTCCGAGTCAACTCACCTATAACTCCAACTTGACCTTTCATCGCGGTCAAGTGGAGAGGAGTCCTCCCATCCTGATCACGAGCGTTGCAAACATCACTATTTATGTATAACAATTCACGTACTATCTCAACATGACCCTCAGCGGAAGCCAAGTGAAGAGGTGAGTGCCCATGTGAGTCTAATTCAGTAGCAAGTTTGGGCTTTCGTCTTAGAAGAGCTTGTGTGAGGCCTAAATGGCCACGCATGGCTGCTATATGCAATGGAGTTTCGTGGAAACAAGTGACTAAAGCTCTATCAAGAATGAGTTCATCTTCTTGCATCAATGTGTTTAATAAGGGTACACTCCCGCTCAGTGAAGCCTCATAGAGTCTTCTATCCATATTTTCTCTCTACCAGTAATTTCTAGGCTTACACACTCCTTCTTACTCGTAATATAACTATATAAAACAGCCTACTAGGCAACTACATATATATATGTGTGTGTGAGTGACTGGAAGTAAAGTGCAAGACTGTTCTTTACCTAGAAAAAGTGCAAGACAGCTCTTTACCCAGCAAGTCTGTAAATAAATAATAATAATAATAAAAATAAATAAAATAAAAAAAGGTCTTCTTATTGATTTTTCTTTTTTGGTTATTCTCCTCAGGAAGGAGTGTACAATTTAGACTGGTACACCATGAGCCAGATTAAAAACTTGAAAGGAAAGAAATATGGAATAATATTCATTTTCTCTGTATTAGTACACAATTCACAAGTTTACATGGATTCTCTTTATAGGAGAGAATACACACACATAACTAGCTGGACTAATTAATAATTTCCTAATTTACAACATTTAACCAATATTCTATTTATAGTAAATATCCTCCAAATATTATATTTACAGCTAATAATATTTGGTAGTATTACTACCGAATCTTTCCTTTTCAACACTCCCTCTTAAGCTGGTTTGAAGATATCCTCCATAACTAGTTTGCCAATTAGTCTGTCGAACTGTCTTGTAGGAAGTCCATTTGTAAGCATATCTGCAACTTGCTCAATAGTAGGAATGTACGGCATACAGATCAATCATTTTTCGAGCTTTTCCTTGATGAAGTGTCTGTCTACCTCCACGTGCTTTGTTCTGTCATGAAGCACTGGATTGTGAGCGATCGAAATAGCAGCTTTATTGTCACAGTACAATTTCATAAGCAATGAATTAGAGACCTTTAATTCATCTAATAGTCTCTTAATCCATAACACCTCACAAATTCCATGAGCAACTTATCTAAACTCGGCCTTCTGCGTTGCTTTTTACTACTACATTTTGTTTTTTACTTCGCCAGGTGACAAGGTTATCTCCAACAAAGGTACAGTAGCCAGAAGTTAACCATCTATCAATAGCACTCCCAGCCCAATCCGCATTAGTATAGGCTTCAACTTGCAAATGCCCACGGTTTTTTAATAGTAGACATCTTCCTGGGGTCCCTTTTAGGTATCTGAGAATTCTATAGACTACATCAAAGTGTTCTCGTCCAGATGAATGCATGAACTGGCTAACCATACTGACTGCAAAAGCTATATCTGGACGTGTATGTGACAAGTAGATCATTCTTCCAACAAGTCTTTGATACTGCTTTCTATTCATAACTTCTTCATCTTTAGAAGGTTGCAGCTTAAGGTTGGGCTCAATGGGTGTCTCGGCTGGTTTACATCCTAGCAGACCTGTCTCACTAAGTAAATCAAGAACATATTTACGTTAATTCACAAATATACGTACCTTCTTTGGATCTAGCAAACTCCATTCCAAGAAAGTATTTTAATGCACCCAAATCCTTGATCTCAAAGTCAGCTGCAAGTCTCTTTTTCAGTCTTTCCAATTCTTCATTGTCATTACCTGTCAAGACTATATCATCCACGTAGACAATTAACACTGCAACCTTGTCATCTCTGCTGTGTTTGTAGAACATGGTATGGTCAGCTTGGCTCTGACAGTAGCCACAATTCTTCACAACTCTCCCAAATCTCTCAAACCAAGCTCTGGGGGACTGTTTGAGACCATATAAAGATTTTATCAGTCTACAGACTTTATTAGGTCTCAATTTTCCCTCAAACCCAGGTGGTAGATTCATAAATACCTCCTCCTCAAGGTTTCCATTTTAAAAGGCATTTTTTTACATCTAACTGGTGTAATGGCCAGCTAAAATTCACAGCCAAAGATAACAAAATTCTGATTGAGTTTATCTTAGCTACAGGAGCAAAAGTTTCCTGATAATCAATTCCATAAGTCTGGGGGAACCCTTTTGCTACTTGTCTTGCCTTGTACCTCTCTATGCTATCATCAGCTTTACATTTCACAGTAAAGACCCATTTGCAGCCTACTGTTCTTTTCTCCTTAGGTAAATCAACTATCTCCCAAGTACCGCTTCTTCTAAGAGCATTCATCTCTTCCATCACTACTAACTTCCAATTCGGATCATCACGAGCTTCCTAAATGTTTCTCGGGACAAACAAGTGTGAGATTTTTAAGGTAAAATCCCTATGAGTATGAGAGAGTTTTTCATAAGAAAGGTATTTGGCAATGGGATATTTTGGATTTGGATATTTGATTTGAATACCTTTCCTAACAACTATAGGAATATTAAGGTTTGATGGTTTTTGGTTAGGAGAAACAATAGGAACTAAATATGAGTTAGGAACAAAATTACTTATGATATCTGGAGGTCCAGTTCCCGGAGGTTGAGATTGGTCATTTCCAAGAGGAATAGGCTGACTTTGACTCTTTTGATGAGGTATTCTCCGAGTATATACCAGAGGTTCAGTATTGGGAACTTTAGTGCCCGGTTGTAGTGATTCTTCCCCTGTTTCAGATACAGTAATATTTAGCACTATATTACTAAGATTCCCTTTATTACTTTCATTGGTTTTATCACATTGTTCCTGACTTTGAATTTCAGGAATAGCAGTAGGATGAGGTGAAGGAGTCAAAATCACATTTGGTAAAGGAGTAGGAGATAAATCCCAAAAATTTTCTTCCATCACCTTATTCTCCCCTTGAAAAGAATTTTTGGGAAAGTAGGATTTATTTTTAAAGAAAGAGACATCCATACTTACATAAAATTTTCTTGTTTGGGGATTATAGCACTTATATCCCTTTTGATTAGAAGCATATCCTATGAAAAAATATTTTTCAGCTCGAAGATTAAGTTTAGACCGAGTATTATTGGGTATATGAACAAAAGTAATGCAGCCAAAAACATTTAGAGGTAAATCCGAGTATATCCTTGATAATAGAAAAATTCTTTTGAAACATTCTAATGGCGTGCTATATTTTAAAACACGTGAAGGTATTCTATTAATCAAATACGAAGCTGTTAAAACAGCTTCCCCCCAAAGATATTTTGAAATATTCATTGAAAACAATATAGCACGAGCCACTTTAAGTAAATGTTTATTTTTTCTTTCATTCCGTTTTGTTGAGGGGTATCCACATATGTAGACTGATGATAGATACCCTTTTCTTTCAAAAATACTCCCCAAAATTTCATTAAAATACTCGGTTCCATTATCGGTTTGAAAAATGCTAATTATTGCTTAAAACTAAGTTTCAACCATTGTGTAAAAATTCTTAAAAAATTTTTCAACCTCAGACTTTTCATTCATCAAATAAACCAAACATAAACGGGTATGATCATCTATAAAAGTAACAAACCATTTTTTCCTAGAGATAGTAGTGACTCTTGAAGGTCCCCAAACATCACTATGTATTAAATAAAATGGTTTTGAAGAAGTATAAGATTTTGGCAAATAAGTAGTATGATGACTCTTAGATAAGCAACAACCTTCACAATAGAACGATGAATAATCCAAACCTTTAAATAAAGTAGGAAACAAATATTTAAGATATGGAAAGCTAGGATGTCCTAGTCTTAAATGCCAAAACATTATTTGTTCATAAACAAAGTTAGAACTAACACTACTAAGGCCCTGAGCCTTTTTATTACTGGAGAAGTCCTCATCAAAGTAGTAAAGTCCATCTATTATCTTAGCACTGCCAATCTTCTTCCTCGAGCTCCGGTCCTGAAATTCACAGTAAGAATCACAAAAAATTACATGACAATTAGATTCTTTGGTTAGTTTACTCACAAACAAAAGGTTATAGGCTAGTTTAGGGACATGGAGAACAGATTTAAGATCTATATTCTCGGATAATTTTATCAAACCTTTTCCTGCAATAGGTGAGAAACTACCATCTGCAATTCTATTTTTTTCAAGGCCAGAACATGGTGAGTAAGTGTTAAAAAGATTGGAAAGGCTGGTCATATGATCAGAGGCTCCAGAATCGATGATCCATGGAGTATAATTTAAACAACAAGAAAGGGCATTAAGTGCACTACCTGTTTGTGCAAGAGAAACACTAGGAATACTAGATGAGGAATTAAATTTCAGCAGCTTCAGAAGGTGATCCATCTGCTCCTTGCTTAAGGGACTTGTCTCAGCTTCATTAGCAGTAGGAACCGCACGCCTATTTCTGTCACCAGGCTTGCTACTCTTCCAATTCGCTGGTTTTCTGTGGATTTTCCAGCAGTTCTCTTGAGTATGACGCGGTTTATTGCAGAAGTCGCACCAGACCTGTGGCTTCTCTTCAGTTTTTCGCTAAAAATTAACTACTTTATTAGCAGCAGTCTCTGCAACAATAAGGGTGGAACTCTCAACAGGTCTGTTGTAATTTTCTTCCCCAACATTACATGTCTATGGCTCTTTTCTCTTTGAACCTCAACAAACACTTCACCAATTGGAGGAAGTGGAATCCTGCCAATGATCCGTCCTCATACTTCATCAAATTCCATATTAAGCCCAGCAAGGAATTTGTAAATGCGATGAGCCTCCACGGTCCGTTTGTAGTGATTGGCATCTTCAGTGGATTTCCATTCATAATTATTGAACAGATCCATGTCCTGCCAAAGGCGCTTTAATGAATTGAAATACTTGGTGATCGAGTCTTCTCCATGCCGAATCTCATCAAGTTTTAGAGTTAATTCGTAGATCTGAGACTGATTTCCCAAATCAGAGTACATTCGATTCACATTGTCCCAGAGTTCCTTGGCCGTGAAGTAACACATATAGTTGGATCTAATATCCTCGTCCATGGAGTTCATAAGCCAAGTCATCACCATTGAATTTTCTGTATCCCAGGTCACGTACGTTAGGTCCTCTGATGCTAGTGCCTTCTTGTCTCCTGTCAGGTACCCGATCTTTCCTCGCCCTCTGATGTACATCTGAACGGACTGGGACCACCGTAAATAATTGTCACCATTAAGGTGAAAATTGGTGATCTGAACCGAGTGAGAATCGATATTGGGGGCTTGGGTTGTCGGATTAGTTGACTAGGTTGTGATAGGC